CCGTCAATGTTAATTTAAACTTTAATAATAACATATTTTAGTTTTAATAATAATATATTTTAGTTATAATAAAAGTATAATTATATCAACTCTTTAATAGTTTCGTATAGAATATTTCATTATGATTTATTTATTAGCTGATATTATTTGTAAATATTAGCACTGCAAATACTTAATAAAAAGTATCCAATTTGACATTATTGTATCTAGTTTAAGTCCAATTGAGATTAAGCAAAATTTCTGGAAAGTTAATTAAGTTATAAATTTTCTAGGTATAAGTGCGATTTATATTTTTTTTCTCATTATCCGTGACATTTCGGATCCTATCCAAGCCATGTGGTTGCAAGACTTTTTGCCTTAATTTTTTTTATGTTAAAATGGTGGCAAAACCTAGTAACTTGCCTGATGATAAGCGGCCACCATAGTCTATAGACGCTTGCGATACCAAAAATATCACTCGCTGTAAGGTGGAGTTTACTGCCTCTGACGCGAGCTCCAATTTGAGCGGGAAAACCGCTATGCCCTACCTTCTACATTATCACATCATCATCATCATCAGCCCATTAATATCCCCACTGCAGGTGTACAGGTCTGCCTTAATGAAGGTATAGGGAGATTGGGCCATATGCCACGACCGATTGGTAGGCACTAACTACTGGAGATGCAGCCGGGACCACAGAATACAGAAAGAGATTCGAAGGGCCTTGTGAGCGGAGCAGGCGCGCCACAGTTATGTTAACACATAACTGTGGCGCGCTCATAACTTGATTAAAACTTGGTTCTCATTGCGCCTTTACTCTCGGGTGTGAGCATTGATTGGTTCGATCGTTTGCTGGTGCGTCCTTTGATTGGCTATTATTTATTAGGTGGAAGTGTAGTGGGGGCGAGCCAGCGACATCAATTCCCGTACAAACGGTCTATGATCACCCTTTTAACCTCTTTCTGTGTTCTGTGGCCGGGACCGACGAACGGTTTGATGTACCTGCGAAGCATTACAGAGCTCGAAATTAGAAAGTTTTTTTTTTCACCAAAACTATAATTTAATAACCGGCCATAACGGAAGTGACAGACCGGACACGCTATTTTGCACACACAATACACATGCACAATTAAGTTTTTTGGAACACTTGCAATAGGTGTCTGTCTATCTTTACATCCTATATCTATGGTCCCGGCGGCTGTATCTGCAGTCGTTAGCACCCACCAATCTGCACTGGACTCGCGTGGTGGGTCACAGTTCAATCTGCCAATTCTATCCGTAGAAGGGAAAGCCTGTGCCCCAGCAGTGGGGACATTAACAGACAATAATGATGCAATTTTTAAAACTACACGCAAATCTATGTTTCATTTTAAACTTTATTTGGTAAATTAATTTTGCGTTAATAAATTATTTAAGTTATTTTAAGTACAATGATATTTGTACAGATCGAATGTTTGTTATGCCTTATCTAGAACGCAAACACTTATCAAGCTATTATCTAGCGAGTAAATGTTTATTTTAATCATCGAATATTTAGTTCATTGAGATGTATAAATCAACATTTCAAGATATAAATCCTATTAACACTAATAGATAACAATTCTAATACAAATATGTGCTTTGTATTGGAATTATTATTGACTGTAGACATTGTAGATGTTATTATATAACTAGAAAGGAATTGACATAGCCCAAATTACAATAACATAAATATAGTAAATAAATATTTCCAACACTCACAGCAATTAGCCTAGCCCCAAAGTAAGCACTGTAAAGCTTGTCTTATGGGATTCTAGGGTAACGGATAGAATATTTAAACTGTACATATATAAGTATATTTATATAGAAACATATATTAAACATCCATGACTTGGAGTACAAATACACCACACAAACATCTGCCCCCACCGGGATTCGAACCCGGGACCTCTCGAGTCGGCGACACCATGAAACCCGGCGTACAAACCACTCGGCCACGGAGGTCGTCAAAGGGAGTCAGTAAGGGAATCCCCTTGATTATCACGCCTATTATAAATTAAGGTGCTGGCGAACAAAACGGTATAATTACATCAAATTAAATTTTAAAGGAGCAGTAAAAAACTGAATGACATATCTAAAATGAGCTTTTGGCGTGACTTTTAATTAAGTAAAAATTAATTTTAATAAAAAGTAATTTTAACACTATTTTAGGCGGTTTTGATTGACAATGAGTTGAAATTCAAATTCAACTGGCCCAAAACCTCCGGGTTGTACAAAAAAACGACGGGTTGCACTCCCGGAGTGCCGGCAAAAGTGAAAACTTGAATATTAACGTTGTGCATTTTTGATATTTTGGAATGGTTAGGGAATAATTTTGTGAGAATTGCTTTAATTATCAGTATAAAAGTACTATCATGTATGTGGTAGAATACAATATTTATTTATTGTGCTATCGTACACAAACATGACAATTTATATTACATTAAAAAAGTTTATCTCTCAGAAAAATCAACTTACATAAATCACGTTTAAGCGCACTTAGCGACATCTATTGTAAAGAAATCAACTTACATGAATCACATTTAAGCCACATAGCTATCTAGCGACATCTATTGTAAAAAAATGCATTTTCTTCGCAATAAAGCTGTCACGTGAACGTCCTACATAGAAACTGATTATTATAATACGATAAAATAAAATATTACTATATTTCGTCCAATATATTGAAAGTCAACCTTTCCAATTTTATTGTGTGTCATGATGCGATCAGCTCACGTGTTTAACCTGACGCGAGTTTAACATTTTTTTACCCATCCAAAAAAAGTGTACAACGCCACTAAAGAAGTTTTCATTTCATAAAGTAGTATATGCTCAAAACCCATATGCGTTTATCCTTCTAATATTAAAGAAGTGAAAGTTTGTATGTTTGTTACTGAATCAAGCAAAAACTACTGAATGGATTTGGATGAAATATGGTACGCTGTTAGTCTCTGTTTATCTCTTTGTCTGAAATATATACTTAATTGTGAGCTTTCTTTGTCTTACACAGCGTAAGTGTTAAAAGTAACACAAAAATGATGAAAGACGTAATCTTTCCCCTTTAAAACTTCTATAAAAAAGACCCCGACAGCATATGTCTATCTCTAAGGGTGACCTACTATAACCATTTTCCTCAAACTAATGCGAGTGAAACCAAAGAGCACCACTAGCTTATCAAAAATTATGGAACATGTTTTAAAATCTGGATGTATCTTTAGAGAACTATAATAAATTTGTTAGTTGTAATGGTAAAGAAATCTCGTATGCTAGGTTGAATCAGATTATATATGGCATAATTTTCGTCAGCTGTTTATAATTAGCAAAAGCTTATTATTAACGATAACATTCTGTAATAGATGTTGCATTTATATCGTGTGGATGATACGGATTCCTTCGTGTGAGGGTCGGACTTGCACATGAGCGCTTTTTTCTAAAATTACGACACATGTGCCTAATTTATTATATCTAGGTACTCATACTTTTATAATGTAGGTATACCTGTTGGTAAATCTTACCTAGTTGTAGTTGGAAAATGTAGTATTGTTTTAAAATGTGGAATTTTGTAAGTGTTTGTTTCTTAGGTTTTCACGTATATCACTCATTAAATAAAACTAGTTTTAACGGGCTAATGCACGAAACTTTGCGGCTGCGAAACGTCAATAAATAAATAAAGTTTCGTTTAACATAACCCGTTAAAACTTGTTTTATAATGTTAGTGGTAAAAATGTAACAAATTTAAGGTATAAAAAACTTTTCTATTTTAGTTTATAACAGGTCTACAAATGTTTCAAATTCTAGATTGATTTACGATCACACTTATCGTTTTGGACTTTTTCCATTATAATTCCCTATCTTTATAATTAAATCTAATATTTCCCATATTAGATTTAATTATAAAGATAGGGAAAAGATTCGGGTGTATTCAGAAACAGTAGGGTCAAATAGGTTACAGTGTCAGAAATACTCACTTTTATTTTATGTCGATAATTTGGCTTGCCGTGTTTTATTAGTTTCATATCCCGCCATCTTAAGAGCCCTTTCACATTTTTTGCAAAAAATCGTAATTTTTGTGCGCCTCATATACGCCCTTTGAAATGATTTGGACTATTTCCAATAGAAGTAAACAGTAGATTTATTCTTCCTATTGTAAGTTAATGTAGAAAATTTTTTGCAAATACTATTTTACTTTTTTTGTACTGATCGTTCTACCGCAGCTAGTTTACGGAAAAAACGATAATATGCACAACTTCAAACGCCTGAATCACTAAATAATGTTCAATAAATTAGATGGAATTAATTACTACGACATCAGAAATATGTTTTTCTTGTAATATAATGTATTAGAATTTTGATTTTCTGTCTACTAATTTATAAAAAAAACATCTAACCTCCGTGAGTTTTCCCAAAAAATAATGCAGGTTTACCTCGTATTTTGATATTGAATTAAATAGAATTACTGTCAAAAACTTTCATAAAACTAATCTACCATCATTGAACTACTAAAATATATATTTTTATATTTAGTTCATTTATAATTATTTTATAAGACTCGAAACATTACCCGTAAAATGCAATATAAACTAGTGCAAATCTACCTACGCGCCGATCAGTACGGCGGCAGCGGCGCAATTTTGTAAAAGGGCTCCTAAACAGCTGTTATCAAAGACCAAATGGCCGGGAATAATTATAACTTATAACTAAAATAACGTATCACTGGTGGGGCACAGGCCTTCCCTAGGGTTGGAATAGGGAGATAGGGCCATGACCCACCAAGCGGGCCCAGTGCGGGTTGGGTGCTGGTGCCTCCAGATGCAGCCGGGACCAACGGCTTCACGTGCCTTCCGAAGCAGGAGCTCGAGTTAGTAAGTTTTTGGTCACCCATCCAATGACCGATTACTGCGAAAGTTGCTTAACTTCAACGATCGCAGCTGAACGGTCTAACGCCATCGAACTCCTCGAAATACCGTATATCATCACTGTAAATAGTTCATCTATTTCCCAGGTCTTCACGAATGGCACCCCTGAGCACTGGTGCGCACCTCCACCGGAGCTTGAGAGCCTTTTGCTTCCTGACGAATTTCTCCGCTTCCTGACCGTGCCCAAAGACCAGGGCGTCTACGAGTCCTGTCGAGCGTACTCCGTGGACCCGAGGGCTCTATACGCTGCGCTGAATGAGTACATCGATGAGAGGTAACAACCAATATCTCTTAAAATCATCAAAAACCTTGTTAAATTCCACTATAATGTCCTTGTAACCCTTCCATTGTTAATGATTTTCGCTGACTAAAATAAATATTTAAAATAAATAAACATATATTTCCAACATTCACACCAATTAGTCTAGCCCCAAAGTAAGCACTGTAAGGCTTGTGTAGGATACTAGGGTAACGGATAGAATATATATACAGTACATATATAAGTATATTTATATAGCAGTACATATTAAACATCCATGACTAGAGTACAAATGCTTGTATTCATGACACTAACATCTGCCCCCATCGGGATTCGAACCAGGGACCTCTTGAGTCGGCAACACCATGAAATCCGGCGTACAAACCACTCTGATACGGAAGTCGTCAATTTGTATGTAATGTACGTATTTATGTATATGTGTACTGTTTCATATACTTATATTGTACATATTTCTTTGTATGAGTTTTTATGTTGTTTTGTGTAGTTAAATACACCGCCGTCTTTCCAGCATCTCTCTTATCCTCTCTATTCCATAGATTTACAATGTAAAGATAAACAGATCACCTAATACAAGAGTTCCACAAAATTTCATTGTACATGTGTGCGTATCGGTGTTTGATTGTAAATTTGTGAGTGATAGTGTCGTTTTGTATAGATAATTATGCTTGAAACACAGTATACCATTTATTACAAACAAAATTGTATAAGCACAATTGTTTTCTTAGTTTCACAGAATTTCTTTCATTTTCATTTTCTCTCCATTTGTTTTGGCTTCGTGGCTACCCTTGGCTTCCACTCGCACTGTCTCCATTGTTCCAGGAGGGGGTTTCAGCAGTCCTTACTAAAGGTGTTGTGTTCAATCTCTTTCAGCTCAGCCCTTTTGTAGTTTAGGCAACTAGACTCGGAGTCTTTATTTGGGCAAGTAGCGTATAAGTGCTCCCCCTCCCACAGTGGCTGCAGCTGTCCAGCGCCTCCGTGCAGACCCGTATAATGTGCCCAAACAGCAGGAGCACTGGATTAACGGGGACTAATCTTCCAAAGCGGAGATTCCCCACTGTAGTTGAAGAGTCCCCGCGTCTGTAATCTGCCGCCAAATATTGGGAGCCACTCTGACCACCACGTGCGACACATGCGGATTCCTAGTTGCCTTTTCGTATATTTCTTCCATATCCACTTCCTTATACCTTTCTTCTCTATTCATTTTTCCAAGTTTTCTTTTTATCCTTTCTATAAATTTCTTTTTCGTTCTCTCTCCTCTGACATTCCTCACTATCACTAATGGATTTTTATTCTCCGCCCTTTCCACTTTCAATATTTTGTTTCTTTCAATCTTCAATTTCAATTTCTCTGCCTCACTTTCCCTTGCACACCCTATAATTACCTTTTGCCCTTTCGCCTATCTCACTCTCCGTACTTCGTTCCACTCCCCCGTTTCATCGACCAACTTCCTCACCGCGTCGAACAACTGGTCGCTCGTGAGCATTTCGTCGGTCGACGCTACTATGAACGAGTGTAAAGTCTTGTTTTGGGGTGGAACGCTTCTCACCTTCTCCACATACGTTTCTTCCTTTCTTTCTTCCTCTATCTTAGTTCCCAACTCAGTCAGTTTCTTTTGCTCTTCTTCCATTCGCTTTCCCACTCTTTCTTGCATCTCTTTTATCACTTCCAATCTTCCCTTTCCTTCCTCTATTTCTTTATTATTTTCTTTTATTATCTCTTTCAGTTTTTCTTGTTCCTCTTTTATACGCTTGTTTTCTTCGACTTGCATACTCACCATTTTCTCTATTTCTCTATCATGTTTTTACTAAATTTCATTTCTTCTTTTTCCTCTATTAAAATTTTGTTAAACTTCCTGTGTTCCTCTCTCGTCTCTTTTACATCTTCTTTGAACTCCAGCAGTATTCCCATAATATCTGCTAGGACATTACCATCCACTCTTATTTTGCCCTTGTCTCCTATAATACCTTCTTCTTTACTACTACTACTTCTTTATCATGCTATTCCTTATTTCATTTTCACTCTCACTTTCTTTCTCATCTTTACCTTTCATCCTCTCTTCTCTTTCCTCCCCTTGTACTCTTCTTCTTTCTTTATTACTTCCCGACTCGCTTACTCTACATACTAGCTCTTTGATCATCCTTACCATTTCAATCGTCTCTTCCGTAATCCTTGCTTTTCCTTCTCTAGTTACTGACTTGTTTGGACCTTTTAGTTCCATTTGTTCCTTTATCTTGCTTTGCGCTTCATTCGCTCTTCTTTCATACTCCCTTACGTTCTTGTATTTCTGTGGCGATTTCATTGTGGGCTGAGCTTGAATTTTATCACTATCTATTTCCCCCCGGGGAGAGGAGTCTGCGCGTCTACTTTCGAATTTTTTTTTCGAAGATTTTAATTTTGCCAAAAAATGTTTGGCTACGTGTATACATTTTACTAATTTGTTTATTATTATATATTATTTTTGTGGGTTTGCCTACGTCTAATTGTAAAATAATTAATAAAATAAAAAATAAAATAAATTCAATTCAAATTGAAATTAGAATGAAATCAATGTGTCAATAGATGTTATCAAAATAATAGAAATAGTCAATAAATTAATTCCTAATCTAAGCCTGCCTTCAAAGGAGATACAGGGTGTCTATATCACAGTCAATTGCAAACTAAAATACTCAGAATAGTAAAGTAATTAATACCTAAAACTAAGCCTGCCCTTAAAAGAGGTGCAGGGTGTCAATATCACAGTCAATTATGATTATAATTAAGAATAAACAAAATTAAAATACAGATTACAATTCAAATTTATCACATTACGGCTTGACAGGACGTTGTTCGCTCTTATGGTGGGCTTTCGAAGCGAGCGTCAGTGACGCCGCGACAGAGCGTCAGATAGATTTTCTATGCAAATGACATGACAATTACATTGATATTACGATATAGTGTTATATTGCACCGACTTAATTTCACTTTAATTTGGGTTATTATGTTTTTTTTTCGAATTTATTAACTAACTAGATGTACTCTCCCCTATTTGAGGACAAAGGTTATAGTGGGTCACCCTTAAAAGATAACATTTGCTGTCGTGGGCTTTTTTACAGAAGTTTTGAAGAGGAACAATTTCGTCATACCTAAATAAGTTTTAGCAACACTTTTCACTGGTGCATTATAGGCTGTAGAGTTATGTTATATAGCCTATTATCTTCCTAGATAAATATCACTATCAACACAACAAAGTAGTTTTTTTAATCGGACCAGTAGTTACTGACATTAGCGCGTTCAACCAAACAAACAAACAATCAAAGAAACAAACAAACTCTTCCCTTATTACTACAAAAAAGTTAGAAAAGCGTTCAACACGACTTTAAAAAAAAATTCATACAAAATTTCCTTAAAAAGGTTTGAAACCGTGTGTAACTATTTTGTAGTAAAACCGCAAAGCTTTATTAACTAACACATTTAAGTAGGTATATTTATTTTCCTTTTTCTCCTTTTACAATAATACAAAACATGATTCCTAAGCGCCTATTTTGGGTACGGCTGTTTTTATGTTACGCCTATTTACATTCACAATAAGGAAATTGTCAATCAATGAACAATAGAGTTGCGTTCATAACTGCAAAAATGACATCACATTGGAGAAAACAGCTAAACCACAAATACAAAATTTTACAGTAAGTGTTAAATACTTGTGACATACTACGACTTAGAGAGTACTCATAGTTGTCTATGCAGTGTTAACGAAATAAATGTTTTAAACAGCCACAACAAGTATTCTATACGTTTTGTTAAAAACTAGTATATGACTTGTTTGTTGGTGTAAACAAGGTGCTACAATTAATGTGACTTCATAAAATACTGTCAATTTCCGTCTTTTCTCTTCTAGAACTAATTTAAATTTTGGACAATAGTACAGAACCCTTCGTGTGAGCAAGTACCAAACGCATTTGGTTTGGGCTTTCTAAATTTTTTTGATGTGTAACATCTTTCCTCTCGCTTTCTTGCAATTAGTGGGAGTGCTTTCGTGAAATGGGACGGAAGTGTGTAACAGGAAGACGCGAAAGCGCGCGCTATTTGATTTGATTTTAGTACATAATGTTCAAATGGCTTATACCTTTTGTAGTAGGTTTTATTTCTTTTTTTACTAATATAAGGTGAGGTTTCAAATGTTACACATCATACGCGACTCGTATTTTTTTAAAATATTATTATTTATTTAAGGTCGGAATTAATCAGAGAAGGTGGTGCGTTAAGGATGGTGACCATTCGTCAATTAGTGCCAGCTATGGGAGAGGCCGAAAGGAAACAACAGGTATACATACACAAATATTGGTAATTAAGTTGAGAAAGGCATTAATTACAATCCCGCTATAATGTGATATCATTTTGGTGATAGTAGTAGAGTCTGTGCGAAAAGAGAATGGGCGTGGCGAAAAACGGAACTAACATAAGGATTTTTATATGGCAATCCAACCCAGCCATCTGTAAAACGTCAGAGTTTTGTATTGATACGGATTTTTTATTGTTGTGATTTCTTGCGGTTTTTTGTATTTAATTGTTGAGGAAGTGGATCGTAGAAAGGAAAGACAATCAGCTCGTAATATTTAGTTTATGTAGTCCCAATCACATTACATTTTTTTAGGTATACACCGTTGACGTATTTGCAAAAGTCCTAGAATGAAGTAACGGTGACATAGAGAACAGGCCATCGAGTCGCGCTAACAAGAAGGTTTTACATAAAATCATAACTTCAACACACCTCCTTGATTTTATAGAAAACAACAAAAACAACTTAATACCAATATAACAACTTAACATAATAAATAAATCACTTAACAAAAGACTATCTGTCACTAACATTTCATTTGACATTTGCCAGTTCTCTAAGTTTTATAAATTTATTTTTTCCTAATGCCTTGGTCAATATATCCGCTAATTGTTTTTCTGTATGAACCTTTACTATATTAATAATACCCTTTTTTTCATAGTCATATACGAAGTGGTAGCTTATGTCAATATGCTTAGAATTTTTACAAAACTTTCCGTTCTTTGACAACGCAATAGCCCCGCTGTTGTCTTCGTAAATTTTTACTGGATTCCTAATCTCAACGCCTAAATCGCGTAACACACCTATTAACGGAAGTACTTCTTCAACACAGTCTGCCAAAGCATAATACTCGGCATGAGTTGATGCTCTTGACACTATTTTCTGTTTATGTGACTTCCACATGATCGGATTATTAAAAACTCTTATAAGGATTCCTGTCGTCGACTTCTTATCCGATTTATCTGCGGCCCAATCAGCATCTACATAAGCGTCCAATTGTTCTTCGTAGTCGGCGTCATAATTCATCTTTAAATGTCTCGTACAGTAAAGATATTTGAGAACTCGCAAGGCATATTTGAAATGAGTATCACTATAAGCATTTTGGAAACGACTCAAATAGTTAACGCTATAAGATACGTCTGGACGTGTTCCACTCGCAACATACAGAAGAGCTCCAATCAAGTTTCTATACTTTAACGTTGCACTGACATCTTGACTTGGATCAATGCTTAAATTCATTTCCATTGGTGTCTCAAAGTTCTTTGATTCGATTACGTTATACTTTTCAGCTAAACTTACAATGTATTTTTCCTGGCTTAAAGTCATTCTGCCTTCTTTTGGTTCAAAAACTACATCTATTCCAAGATACTGTTTCACCTTTCCCAGATCTTTCATTCGGAATCTATTGTTCAATAGCCGTTTAACTTCGTCAATTGCCTCATTTTTCTCCCCACAAATCAAAATATCATCCACATACAGACATAGATATATATTTACATTATTTACACACCCTGTATACAAACAATAGTCATAGTCTGACCTATTGAAATTAATGCTTGACATGAATTCGTGAAAGCATTCATACCAATCACGTGGGCTTTCTCGCAATCCATAAAGAGCTTTTTGTAGTTTGCACACTTTATTATTCTCTGTACAATATCCATCAGGTGGGTAAATATAAACTTCAGACTTAATACTCCCATTCAAGAATGCTGTCTCAACGTCCATTTGTTCAATGTTCCATCCTCTTACACATGCAATTGATAATAAAGCTTTCATTGTCGTCATTCGCGCTACTGGTGAATAAATTTCCTCGTTTTCTTCATACATCTGTTGGAAACCTCGTGCGACTACTCTTGCCTTATACTTTCCATTCGACTTGATCCTAAAGATCCATTTAACATCTATTATTTTCTTATTTTCAGGTCTCTCAACTAAAATCCACGTTTCGTTCTTTTCCAAACTGTTCAATTCCTCTTTCATTGCATCTTTCCATTTATTTACATCCGGACTTTTTATTGCTTCATCATACGTATCTGGTACCAGTGCATCACTAAAATTTATATATACAACATGATCTTTATATTTCTCTGGCATTTTTCTATCTCTTTTTGGTCGGATATCCGTCACCTCCTCAGTCACAGCTCTACTTGATTTTTCCTTTGAGTCATCAACACTATCATAAAATTCTTCGTTTTCATCTGTTTCATCTTCAGTATTTACTATCTTTATTATCTGTTCTTCTTTCGTACCTATAAATGTAACGTGACGACTAATGACTATTTTTTCATTTATTAATACTCTGTATCCCGTATCTGTGTATCCTACTAATATACCTTTTGTAGCCTTTGGGTTAAGTTTTGATGTGCGTAATTCGTCTGGAATTCGTACATAACACTGTGATCCAAAAATTTTTAAATTACTTACATTTGGCTTCCTCCCCATAAACATTTCGTACGGTGTTTTTTTCTCATACGTATTTGCTAATATTCTATTACCTAGATATGCTGCAGTCATAACGCATTCAGGCCAATATTTCTTATTTATCTTTGCTTCTGTAAGCAGACACCTCGCTCTCTCCATTATGGTTCGGTTAAATCTTTCAGCTACACCGTTCAACTCGTGTGTATAAGCTGGCCCTGGTTTTAAATAAATACCTTTTTGCTTTGTGTAAGTGTAGAAATCGTTGTTAATATATTCTCCGCCATTGTCACATCTGATTTCTTTCACTCTCTTACCTGTTTGATTTTCCACCATATTTACATAATCTCTAAAACAATTAAAAACATCACTCTTGTTATTAATTAAGCATAGATAAGCTAACCTACTATAGTCATCTATGAATGACACAAAGTATCGTTGCCCCTTATATCCAGTGGGCGTAATCGGGCCTGCCACATCCGTGTGGATAATCTCTAACAAGTCTGTTGCCCGTCGTCTTTGATTTCCAAAAGGTAGATTTGTCATTTTGTTCATCAAACAAACTTCACATTGCACGTAACCCTCGCCTAAAGTGATAGGTAACCCATCTACAACCCTATGCCTGCACATTTCATTTAGTTTCTTAAAGTTAGGGTGCCCAAGTATTCTGTGCCATTTTTCTTTTTCTGACATAATGTTACCACTTGTGTATGCTACTGTACCTGCACCTAAATTAACTCTGCCATCTAATTCGTACAATTTATTTTTCTTGCGTGCGACGGCCATTAAACCTATATGTACATTATATATATTTGCTATTTCTCCTCTAAATTGAATTGTATTATTTCTATTTACAATGCATGAAACGCTTAATAAGTTCTTTTTCATATTTGGAACATAATATACATTTGAAACATCAATTTTATTTGACTTACCTCCTGCTTTACAGTACATTGTTACATTTCCTATTTTCTCCGACTTAAGACAAAATCCATCACCTACCTTAATATTCACAGGTGTTTCTAAAATTTTATAATCACGAAAGAATTTATCGTCATTTACGATGTGATCGCTACATCCGCTGTCCAATAACCATGTTATATCCGCTTTCGTTTCAGTAGCTCCTGTCATCGCTTCTACTTCTACGTTGAATCCAAATCCATCACTGGTGCTGCTACTTTGTCCTGTATTCACGCTTCTATTGTTGTATCCTCCTCTATATCCTCTGTGAGTTCCTCGTCGTCCGCCTCCATATCCGCGTCCTCTACCACGACCATGACCACGACGTGCTAACTTAGGACAATCCCTCCTGTAGTATCCTGGGCGGTTGCATTCAAAGCAGTTATCATTATTCCTGGACCCATCTTGGTGTTGATTTGATCGAGAACTGAACGTATGAGCTTCTTGTTCGCTCTGTTTTCTTTTCATTTCAAGTAGTAATTTGGACTTCACGTACTCCACTGTCCGATCCTTTGTCGGCATCGCATCAACAATATTTACAATATGTGCAAAACTCTCAGGTAATGCAAGCAATAAATAGTTCAGTCTATCCTCTTCCGACACGAATTCTCCAGCATTTTTCAATTCATTGATTTGTTTTTCAAATGTTTGTATGAATTCTAGTATATCGTCGCCATCTTTGAATTTTGTTTCTAGTACTTTCCTTTTAATTAATAATTTATTAGCACTGCCTTTTACTAAATACATCTCGTCAAATTTTTTAATCATCCCGTAAGCCGTACTTTCATTCATTATTATATCGAGCTGAGTATTATTTACGCTATTCACTATAATATTTCTAGCCTTTAAATCAATTTTTCTCCATTCTGTGTCTGTCATACCTTCATGTTTTATATCATTTTCCACAGCTTCTTGGCATTCCTTCATTTGTAACAACAACTTTAATCTAAATTTCCATTTTTCGTAATTTGCACCATCAAATATCTGAATGCCTACTTCTCCTATCTTTACTTCCATTTTCGGTACCTTACGTCTTCAATTGTTTCGGTACTGACCTTTTCAAATAATTTCCACTTATCTTCCTCTTTCTATTTATTTTATTCAACCACGCTCCTTTGCTACCATGTTGAGGAAGTGGATCGTAGAAAGGAAAGACAATCAGCTCGTAATATTTAGTTTATGTAGTCCCAATCACATTACATTTTTTTAGGTATACACCGTTGACGTATTTGCAAAAGTCCTAGAATGAAGTAACGGTGACATAGAGAACAGGCCATCGAGTCGCGCTAACAAGAAGGTTTTACATAAAATCATAACTTCAATCATAAAATCATAATAATAATAATGTCTAAAAGGGGTAAAACCTTACCCCTAATACGGTAGAAAAACACTACTGCACCCTCAAATCTACATCCCATTCTCTTTCCGCACAGTCTCTAGTAGTATTTTCTCACTCGCAAACTATTCAAATTCGATATTGGTTCATGTTAAGGTTACTGTACCTCTAGCACGAGAACCATTATGAGATTCGAATAGTTTGCGAGCGCAAAATGTAAATGTCAAATTTTGAATGGAAACTTGAACAGCAGCACCACAAAGTACGTAACGAGAACTAAAAATCAGTACACATTTGTCAATGACATTTAGGACTCGCAAATTATTCGAATTCGATATTGGTTCGTTCTAAGGGTACTGGCCGATATCGGAGAAGTATTTTTTGTATATTTTTGGCAACCGTCATATCACAGATGGTGGATGAAAAAGTTGCATGTTGCGTGTTCTTTTTGTAAGCGCCTTTAAGGAAAGTATTCTATTTATCAACTCAATGCAGTCTAGTTTTTTTTAATAATTCATTGCCATGGATACAAGTCCTTCAGTCGTATACACAAATAAAAATCTTAATCTTCTTATTTACATTAGAATGTCGGTATGACGCATTCTAATCTTTCTTGGAGTGTTTGGCACAAAATGTATCGAGTTAGTTTTTTCGATTAGCTTCTGTGAGGTAGTCAATACTAAAATAAAGTTCTCACGTCCACTTGACCGGAATAGCGTATATTTTAGAGATTCCACTAATTCTTCAGTTGCGCAAATGGTTGTAACACAAAATCACACCAATTTTATTTCACAATATCCACTATGAGCGAATTTAAGAATAATTGAAATAAGACGCCAACCGCACTCGATGAAATCCCACCAAAAACGCCGGTGCAGTCTAGTCCTCCACAGTGTTGCCAGGTTTCTAGATTTTACAGGAGATCTCCTGTTTTTAGAACAGGAGAAATTACAGTCTCCTGTTCTACTGTTTTTCATCGGAAAATCGGAAAAAAGTACACATCTGCTGTTTTTTCTTGTAGTTCTTTCCATACATCTACTGACTTTTTCTATAACGACTCCCGATTTTTAAAAATCGGACCTGGCAATACCGGTCCTATAAAACATTTAACGAATAAAGCTATCGTGTCCCGCATGCATCGCATATCACTAAGAGTAATGAGACCGTATTTTAAGCTACATGACTCCCCTTAACCATTGTATTAATTTTTAACTCTAAAGTTAAGGTATTTTACGAATATAATTTGTATCCGTTCAATTTGTTTCTAGAGTCTGTGCGAAAAGAGAATTAGATTTAGACTGGAGGGCGCTGTAGTGCTTTTCTACCGTATTTGTAAGGTTTTACCCCTTTTAGACATGATTAAAAACAAAAAACCGCAAGAAATCACAACAACAAACAAATCCAAAATATCAATATAAAACTGTGACGTTTTACAGATTGCTGGGTTTGATTGCTAAATAACTCGTAATGTTAGTTCCGTTTTTCGCCACGCCCATTCTCTTTCCGCACAGACTCTAACACACACTTTCCATACTTTTGGATTAACCTGTGACTATCGTTCTGTAAGAAATTAATGCTTCTTATTCAGTTTGTATTCTTCTTACAGATCACAAAGGTGAAAGAGGCTATTCTTACACTGAGAAGTAAAGAGCCTGAAGCTTGTGCACATGGTTGGAGATTCAGCAAAGAGCATTATCTAAAAACGCTTGTTACCGAAGTAAGTATACGGATATATAAGCATAAAAACTTTACTTATATATGGCAGTATTACGTGGGATGAAACTTAAATCAAATTCTTAATGCTTATAGTGCACTTGAGCATCTCTAAGTTTTTATGAATAAAAAAAATATGTGTACTTTGCTTTAGTCCTAGTGCATTAAGCTTTATATTATATACGAGTGTCTTGTGGCTGACGGCATCACAACTGCAGCCGTCGTCACCTTTCGACGACAGCCGTCGACTTCTGCCGTTAACGTGGCGACGATCAGCCACGGACGGCTCGACGGCTAGTTGACGGCTGCCATCGCCGAGTCGATGACTGCCGCCGAAAGGTGACGATGGCTGCAGTTGCGATGCCGTCGGCTACGAGGCTTTTGTATTTATGAAGCCTTAGTGTGCTCGGCTTAAGATCGTGAAAATTAAGCCTTTCAGAGTGCCGGGTGGGTTTAATAAGTTGTGACCTTGACACTTAACGTCGAGCTGTTAAAGGTCTTGAAAAGTGTTTCTAATTTTTCGATTATAAGTAGTAAAGTGAAAAAGTGGAAAATTTATGTAGTTATAATTTATAAATAAGAAAGAAAAAAATATTTATTCAGTATCATGATCATTTTGACAACATACATAACGTGGTTTGATACACAAGTATATACATGGTGTTGAAAGGTATCTACTCAGCATAATGTCGGAGCATCTAACGATGATTCGACGCTGGTCTTTCGCAGATACCTACTAATATTAAGTGAATTACGCTACGCGCAGAAATAAAATTAATTTATAAGTGTACAGCTGTGGATAATATATAATGGGCAATAATAATCTATAATGGAATGGAACGTAACATAATATAAAATTAAAGCACAGGGACATATATATGTATGTATTCTGTTAAGAGTAGGTATTTGTATCAAAGGTTTATTTTATCTTAAAGTCTTTATTGCGCCCCCGTCATATTAGTTTTTTTTCTCACGCCCTTACTGGTCGACTGGGAATTTTGCAATAAAGTATAAATAAATAAATATACCTACACAGTGAAATGCAGTGTTTAATATTACTTCCATCCGAGTTTATGATAGTCATAACACACTAATAAGTTGCCAATAGAGATGATGTAAACGAAATTCAAAATTTAGTCCGTCAGTTAGATTATCAAAAAATAATAGACACCTATTTTTTCTTTTGTCAATCAACCAAAAAATGACGGAAATATAAAACGCTACAAAGGTGGCTCGTGGCGGCACTTCTCAGTAAATATTGTGCCAAACCGTGATGTCATGCGACAGTTAAAATTAATATAATTATGTCAGATTTTTTTTATGTGAAAAAATAAAAAATACTTGTCCAATACTTATTGATTATATCTACCTGATAGATGAAAAAATAGAAGTTAGTCATGATCCATATTTTATGCGTTTGTCGCTCAGCTATCTGGAAGACGTAATAAGTTCTGATTATGCTCTATTCCAGTACTCCCTGGTCTGTGATAGTGCCTGGATGCCAACAACCGGTACTGCTCTGTTTTGGGTGGGCTCCGTGTTTGGTAACCTGATCTTTGGATCGATATCAGATAGGTATGTATAATTTTTTGGACATTATGAAATTATTTGTTATATTTCCATAATGCTGAACTTTGAAAGAAACAATGCAGAATACTTACTGAATTGGGCTAAACTGTACTTTCTGGGCTCACGAGTTAACAATTTCTTTATTCAAAGTTATGTTAAGTTATTCTTCTGACCATAATGCGCGAGCCGTGCGGCCGAAACACCATAAAATACGTACTTAATAACAAAAATATGTAAAGTTTGACTTCTTAGGCCCAGAAAGTACATTTTTACCTTCCAGGTCAACAACTGAGACTTTGGTATGAAGTAATAGCTAACTTAATTACTCCAATTCTGCTTTGACAGCTTTACATGAACACGTGATATTGTATTTAGTTCAGTTTTTTTCTCAAGTTAAATGGTTTACATTTTGACCCAGGCTTAATAAAATGTAGTTTATTTTTCGTAGCTTCTACGACTTCATTTCTTTAGAAACGCGACATTATTGATAATTTTTATAGGTATGGTCGTCGTCCAACGATTTTGCTTATGATACTGCTGGAGGTGCCACTGTCCATAGCTGCGTCATTCCCCTCAACATATTGGTCTTATGCTGGAATCAGGGTAATTTGTGGGCTGTTCTTCCCGGCTTTGTATCAGCAGCCATTTATATTGGCATTGGAATTGATGCCACCCAATAAAAGACCTTATACTGGTTAGTAACTAGCGTTAAATTTAAACGCATAATATGATCTTAAATTACATATAATCGCTATCTATAAATGAGCCGTTGAATAGATTTCATTTTACTAAAGCACACTTAAGTATAAACTAGTGAATAAATAATAACTATATTGTCATCTTCAGTTTTAGATTGTGCTTTTGGTATATAAATATTGAAAATTACTGTTCTCTGAAATCATACGCAATTGGTATCATTGCTCTTGTTTGCAGGAATTTTTGTTGGAATGCTATTTGCGAGTGGAATGTGTCTACTAGCATTAGTTGCCTTTGCGATAAGAGATTGGTTTTATTTATCACTTGCCACAAGTCTGCCGTTCGTATTTCTTTTTGGGTAAGATATAACATTAAAAACTATTATATTCTAACTAGCAAACCAGTGAACCAAATGTTCTCCAAAAAAAAAAAACAAAAAAAAAATATTTAACTAATTGAGAACTTCGGAGATTTTGTGTGGTTTCGTTTGAAATAGAAATAACGTGATTTCTCGAAAACCGGAAGTGCTACGTTACTCACATCCGGTTTGTAGTCTTATCAGACTATTCTCAACTTATAACTTAAACATTCTCTATATCTATCTCTTACGGTTTGGCCGCTGAAACAGCACCACGGACGGACGGACGGACTTGTCTATTAGATAAGAGATACTATGATATTAGCTGAACTGGTCAGCTTTTTTTTCGTAACTCCTATTTTATGATAATGCATACAACATTACAATATTTATTGATAGTTGCAATGATATTCTTAAAACAAAGAGTAGTTACAGTTTAACTATTGCGTTGTTTCTTTACAATGATTAAGACCGTTACTATACCTATCGCAATGTTTTCAGATTGATTTGTTGTTGTAACTAAATAAACAATTGATATTACAGATATTATTGGCTCTTACCAGAATCACCAAGATGGCTTGTTGGGCGCGGTCGGATTGCCAAAGCTGAAAAAGTATACAGGGATTTGGCAAAAAAGAATGGGATAAATTTACCTCGTGGATTCCTAATGGAGTTACACGTAAGCCTTATTTTTTTATCGTATTTAATACAATCATAATAATTAAATAGTAAGTATACCTACCTCTAATTTATATGACGACCTCCGTGGCCGAGTGGTTAGTACGCCGGGTTTCATGGTGTCGCATATTCGAGAGGTCCCGGGTTCGAATCCCAGTGGGGGCAGATGTTTGTGTGATGAATGCGAGCATTTGTACTCCAGTCATGGATGTTTAATATGTATTTCTATATAAATATACTTATATATGTACAATATATGTATTCTATCCGTTACCCTAGTATCCCATAACACAAGCCTTACAGTGCTTACTTTGGGGCTAGTCTAATTGGTGTGAGTGTTGGAAATATTTATTTATTTATTTATATAAGTATGATAGCAATGAAAGTAATTAAAAGTATTTAAAAAGTTAATTATTTGCAGAAAAAACTTAGAGATGAAGAAGCAGACATAACATTGCTTTCTAATGGTAATGGACATATTATGGGTTTCCCTGACATACCAGAAAAGAATAACTACGACAGAAGAATAAGCAATATGCTTACTTTCAAACCAGATATAAGTATAATTAACGATACAGAAGTTGCAAATAAAGTAGATCATTTAGAAAAAATAATAGCCCTTGAAGTGGCTGAGATAGTTAATAAGAAAGCAAAGTTAAGAAAAGATGAGGAAACTGATGAATCAATAGATGACAATTCTAATGAAGAACCGTTACTAAACCGTGATATAACACAAAAATCTACACAAACTGATCCTTACAAAAAATCTCCAACAAACACATTAAGAAAAAAATCTATCCAACTGGTATCTAAAATATTCATGGCAGAGGACGATGAGGAAGATGCAATAGAAAATAAAAGAATGGATGATCAAAATTCTGAAGGAGATTGCAAAGCTTCTCCGCTGGATATTTTCAGATATCCAAATATTAGAAAGAAATTCTTTCTTTTGTCATTCAACTGGGTAGCAATAGGCGTTGTGTATAATAGTTTAAGTTATAATACACCTAACTTAGGAGTTGATGACTACTTAGCTTTTTTCATAGGTAATATCTTATATTAATATGCATTACTAACGATAAACGAAATGTTGTTTGCTAAAATCCTGAGTGCATCATCGGTTGGTTTTAATTTCTAAAATAAAGGTCTTTTTCAGGGGGAGCTGTAGAGATCCCATCATATTTTCTTGCATGGCGATGTATGGATCGATTTGGTCGACGTTGGGTGCTCTGCATTTGCATGAGCATTGGAGGATTAGCTTGCATCAGTTGCTTGTTTGTCCCAGAAGGTAAATTAGTAAAATGTTACCTATATAGCTATCAACTTTAAAGTATATAATAGTCTAACTAAAACGAAATGGTTACTTTCTCTATCTTCTCTCTCTCTCTTATTAATAAACAAAGAATATGCTTGTATTAGTTACTCCATGTTCATTGAATGACAAACGGCATTTGAGTGATATGAATAAAACACGGTGTAATAAGTCCAAGCTTATTCCTCGTTTATTAATTAGGGGGAATGAGTCTAACAAGTATTTTATAAAACGCTGTTAAATGTTTAAATTTTTGTTATTAAGACAACAAAGATTTCGGGAATTGTCTAAAATATCAAGTAATCTTCAAAATTGAACAATCATAAAGTTTTTCCAAGTGTCATAACGTAAATATTTTGAACACCAGTTCTTTTTACGTGTCAGGTTAAATTATTCATACGACTACAATTATGTCTTTTGATTAAAGTTTGTTTCTTGTTTTGCAATGCAGCATCTCCTTGGATCACGGTTTCCTTGTCTATGTTTGGGAGACTGCTCATCGCAGCATCGTTTGCAGTGTTTTATGTTCAAATCGGTGAACTGCTACCGACCGTGGTGAGAGCACAGGCAATGGGTGCAGCTTCTTTCATATCAGGATTGGGACTACTCGCAAGCCCCTACATAGCATATCTGGTAAGCAAAGCCCAAGGAGATGTAAACTGATCCAATCTACCTAATAACTCGCCTCCTATAAATACAGAGTTGTCTTGATTTATTGATTGAGGATTGAGTTATTGCTCTGGTACTTATTTTTTGACATCATATCTTATTGCTGGAGTGAAGGTTATATTTAGGGGGAGAGTCACATCGTCAGTTACATAATTATTGCGATGCTTTTACAAGACTGGGAAGTCTTGTTTGTCTTTTATGCATATAAATACTCACTTTTCACCTAAACTTCAGGTTGTTTTTCCTTGTAGATCAATTAACTGCATTTGTAATTAGATGATAACAACTAATAACGTAATTTAGGGCAACTTTTTTCCGTGCCTTTAGAAGCACGAGGAAGAATTTCTTCGGCATTTATCTTATAAGCAGTATTTCATAAATTGTCGTCGATTTCAATATGAGCGGACAAATTCGAAAGACTTTCTAATTCGTCTTTGTGTTAAGTATATTGAATAATCAGTGAAAAATGTAATCTTCATGCCTTCACTGGTATTATTGTATTACTTGACTGCATACAAAATTATCTCGTGTCGGTATATAAATTTATGTTTTCAATTTCAGGCAATTTACGGGAGAGCACTACCGTTCATAGTGATGGGAATACTTAGTGTTGTTGCTGGAGTTTTATCACTATTTTTGCCTGAAACATTAAATCAGACTTTGCCTCAAACTTTAGAAGACGGAGAAATGTTTGGAAGAAACTTTAAATTACTAAGTTGTGTAGAAAGACCTAAAAGAAGTATTAATTCAGGCGATTTGGACTGATGTGTTAAAGTATTAAGTTTGATACTACATTAATGTCGCTCAAAAATATGTTTAGAAAATTAAAAATAAATAATTAATTAAGTTAAATAGGTTTAATTTTATAGGAATTATGAATTTTGTAAATAACACTTTAAAAAGATTCCATAATCGGATGACGGCATGACAATTTAAGTAAAAGATAATTGTAACCAAAATAGAGTGAAATTCAAAATTAAAATGAATTCCGTCGAGGCATCGAAAAATATGTACTTCTGAAAGTCGAAAAGTTATACTATAGGTTTACGAAACTACGACAAGAAAATGTATGGTGAAACTTTTATGCCATTCCAATTATTATGTTTATAACAGTATGAGAAAGAAATTTTATCCGTCAGGACACAAGCGGATGGCAAAATTTTGTATTGTTATATTTTGTAATATTTTTTTGTATATTTTGATCAATATCGTGTTATCACAAAAATTAAGTGTATTACTGTCAATGAAATGTGATGACCTAATTGGTACCACAATTTGAGTAAAGTGCTAACAAATAAATTAATATAACATAGGCTTTGTAGCATTAATGTACCGTTGATTTGATGAATTAAAATGTTGTAGTTATTTATGTCATGAAAAACATCAGATTGGTTTTACTCTTAGGCAATAATCTTGCATTTATATAAAAAAACTAAAATAAAAATGCATTTGCATACAAACATATTTAGGAAGTGTGTTTGAAAGTGTTTCAAAAATAAATCTGTGTCCTATTAATATTAGGAGTAAGTGGCTTGTACAAACAACCAATCAAATACTTTAACATGAGACTCACTTTACGTAAAAATCAGTCAACCTAAAGCCAGAAACATATTAACGTGTCGTGTCGTGGCCCGCCAGAAGCACATAGGCTTCATACATTTACTATAGTTAGAGACATAATTATTTACGTGTCGTGTCGTGTCGACGCTCTAACCTCTCTCTTTCTCTAACCCATAATAAATGTATGAAACTGATACGTCACGACACGCCTGGATACGTTAATATATTTCTGACTTTAGAGGAAACTTCTGCAAACGAGAGTAGAGCTAGAAACGAGTTAGCGAGAAGCGAGTGCGTAATTCCGATAGTTTTATCGCTGGGCTGTAAGTGACTGTGCGAGTACGACGGGCAATTAGTGTCGCCGCATACGGGCCACACACCAAAGCCACAAACGCGCCAAGAGAAGCTAGAAGCGGCTACTAAAGTTGCTGAAGCGTGCGACACCGGCCGACTAAGGTAAGGGAGAGAGGGGTGGGGATTCGCGCCAGTGACGTGTGGCGGCGATTTGTATCGGCGCATTAAGTGGCCGGTGCGGGCCACAAGAAGCGAGCAACGACGATTTGTAGCGTGTGGCGGCCACCCGCGTACCGTGTGTGGCGAGTCCATATAAAATGTATGAAAACTAAAAGAAATATGCCGGTGGCGGCATTTTGTGGTTGTGGTCGGTGGCCCGTGTGACACTTACTCACGCCACTCGCTCGCGGATATTATACTGAACGTGTGCACGTTTTCAGGCGAACATCGCTGGGGCAGTTTCGCTGAGTGAGTAGCTCTTGATGGTCAGCGACAAACTAGTGGAGACACTTCTCGCTGGAAGTGTGAACAGTCAGCAATCAACTAGTTATCTCTTTTGTTTAGATGGAATGTATATCTATTGTACGTCTCTTGAGTGAGAAAATAACTTAAAGTTAGTCGCTTACTCGCCGGTGGTAGCATACCTGTCTTACATGCCCTAAATCAAATTTACCGGATAACGTATTTTTTGATTGGTTGTTATTTTTTTTGTAGTTAAATTTTATTCAAGAATTGGCCATAAGTGTTGCGATAGTGTCGCCGCACACGGGCCACACGCCACAGCCACAAACGCCGCCACGAAAAGATAGAAGCGGCTACTAAAGTGGCTAAAGCGCGCGATAGCGGCCGACTAAGGTAAGGGAGAGAGGGGTGGGGAATCGCGAGAGTGACGTGTGGCGGCGTTTTGTATCGGCGCATTAAGTGGCCGGTGCGGGCCACAAGAAGCGAGCAATGACGATTTGTAGCGTGTGGCGGCCACCGGCCTATCGTGTGTGGCAGAAACCTACAAGAAATACGCAGGTGGCGGCGTTTTGTTTTTCAGTATTAATAAAAAGATGGGGCCAGTGATTTTTTTATAATAGGTTCGATTCGATGTAAGTTATGTAATGTAAGGGATTCATGGATGAGATACGTGTCACACATGTTATTATATGTTTTGATATAAAATAAAAAAAAACTTTCTTATCCATTTATTTTATTTATTTTATAGTGTTGTCACTGGTACCTAGATAGCATTATTTGAAACAGTGGAATAAGATGGAGTATTGTATGATTTAATTTTTATTGTATATGTGAGTTGTTAATATTGACTTTTATAAAAAAAATAAGGTTTTAAGAATCAATTTGCTTGTGAGGTTTTCAATTTTGTGTATTAAATTACACTAAAATATTACAGTTGTTCTAGACTGTCTTGTTGGTTATAATTGAAATAAATGGTCAAACTTATCTGTGTTATTTTTTATATACCTATCCTACTAATACTTATTAAAATAACAAAATAGATAAATAAATAGATAAATCTTATAAATGTGAAAGTTTGTACGTTTGTGTGTTTGTATGTTTGTTACTTAATCACACAAAAACTACTTAATGGATTTGGATGAAATTTAACAAGCATTTAGTTAAACCTACGCTCACGATTCCCCCACGACAACGGCTAACTAGAGCCGAGGTCCGAGTCTCAGAGACGCCCTCTAGTTGAGCCGACCCTCTCAAGTTCGAGAAGTCTAGAGGCTCCAGACGGAGAGGAGACTCCCCCCGCGGGGACATGCCATCCGCCTGGAATACCTATAGAAGCACTCGCCAATTCTCGGCTTGAGGTCCCCTTAGGATCTCGCCGTCCCCAAACCCGGTGACGCTGTAAAGGTCATCTACGACAAAACAGCATACACACTCAAAAAAAAAACGTACCTACGCTCAAAGGCCTTACATCAAGCGAGGTAGATGACGTCGGCAATGTAGGTATGCAATGAAAATGGTCTATTTCACGAAAGTATATGACTTAACGAGAATTTGAAGAAACGAGTTGCATACACATCATGCCATTCTAATATAAGTTCGCTGTGGCATTAAGCAACTGTTGGCTGATAGGCTCCAAAGTATAATCTGGAAATGCTATAGCTCTTGAGCAATTACCCCAATACCAACGTCAAACAAAATGCTCTTGCAGTTGATGAACAATAAAACACCGTTCATCGATATTTGTCAGACAGAAACAAACATAGGATTGCCGATTTTAGTTGAACGTGTTATTCAGGATGCCAAGAATATTATTTTGTCAAAATATTTAACATGCCAATAAAGCAGAATTAACAGGATCGGGGACAAAAACCTAACTTTTGAAAGAATTGACCTGAGTCTTTTCGTTTCTACCAAAAGTAAGACACGTCTTTGAATTGTTTGAGGTTGATTGTACCATGTGACGTGACTAAATACTCTGATGATTCAATGAAAAACTATGTGTATGCTCTTAAGGTTGTCAATGATCATGCAGAAAGAGGAATTTCTTTGAACTGAAACAGTAGCTGTTAGTTCAGGAAATGAAGCATTATAAAAAACGCATTATTTTTGTTATTTTTTAAGTAAACCACCATTTACTTAAAAAAAAACAAATATAATGCGTTTTTTATAATTTTTCTATGACAAATATGAAATAAGATACAGTAAATTAATTCTTAGCTTTTTTCGTCAAATGCATAAATTGGAAGATTTACAGCGGAATAACGAGAAAAATTTTCATTATTCGAAGAAAGCTTATTTAATCTTTTTTAAATTATTTAATTTGAGCTTTCAAACAAATAAAAAACAATGTCTCTAGCATGAAAATTGACCACCTTATGATCAAAATAAGATCGGTACATGCTTTTTTCTACGAAAAAAATCTGTGAAAACAACCCCTAAATTACCCCCTAATTAAAATTGATCGCCACCCTTCTGTTATTCTCTCCATATATGTACTATTAGTACACCCATGAAGTTTGACTAATTTAAAATGGCAAATTTTAGAAAAAATAGAGTTTAAAGAGAAACCCGATTTTTATCAATTTCGTGTTTTTGACCATTTTCTTAAAAATATCACCCAAAATACTAAAGATACGGAAAAAACGATATAATACTAAATTGTATATTTTTTGTACAGTGAATATTCGGCGAGATATAGTCATTTAACACCTACATTTACAATCGAACATCACCTTTTTCAAGCGCTTTAAACTCTCCCCATTAAAAATTAAGGGATCTTAAGTAATTTAATTCACATAGTCTTATAGCTCCTGAAAAGCTCTACAAAATCGTTTCTGAAAAAAAAACTATCACCTAAAATAAAGGAGCTACGCTTAAAAAACCGATTTTTTTTCTAAAAAAAACAATGTTTTTTAGTATAGTTTTTAACAAGGGTAGGTTGCAAGATTATGAAATTGTATCCTAAAACATGAAACAATCATTTTTACTATTTTTACCCATATTTAGGTTTTTAATTATATTTTCGATAGCGCGCTCTTAAGGATCCCGGGGTCGATTCACTAAAAGCAGCCTACAATATTGCTTCCAAGGCCTGTAAGAAGGCATACATCAGAGCGGATGCCCAGCGCGTTGCACGTGTTGGTCACGAACTTATAACGCATCCTACGGGCTCCCGTAGCTATTGGCGTTTGGCCAAGGCCGTGCAAAAGAACTTCTGCCAGCCCTCGCTGCCACCTCTGAGATGTCCAGACGGAACACTAGCTCATAAGCCGCAGGAGAAAGCCGATTTACTGGCAAAACTCTTTGCGGCTAACTCCCGAATCGATGATTGCAATGCACTGCCACCATTATTACCTCATTGTGGCACAACGATGCCTGATATCAAAATCAGGCAGCGTGAGGTTCGTGCCGAATTGCAATCACTCGACGTCCGGAAAGCTAGTGGACCTGATGGCATCCCAGCAGTAGTATTGAAAAAATGTGCAGCGGAGTTGTCTCCCGTGCTCACGCGTTTGTACCAGTGCTCGTATTCTTTGGGGCGTGTGCCGGAGACTTGGAGAGATGCTAACGTGCAACCGGTACCCAAAAAAGGGGATCGCTCAGACCCGGCAAACTACCGGCCAATAGCAGTCACCTCAGTATTATGTAAAGTCCTAGAAAAGGTCCTTAACAACCATCTGACCCGCTACCTAGAGGATCACTCCCTGATTAATGATCGTCAATATGGTTTTAGACCGAAACGATCGACGGGTGATCTTCTAGCGTACTTGACTCATATCTGGGGTGAGGCTATCGACAAGCGGGGCGAGTCGTTGGCTATCAGCCTAGACATTGCCAAGGCATTCGACAGGGTCTGGCACAAAAGCCTTCTCTCCAAGCTTCCGGCATACGGTCTGCCGGCCCAGTTCTGTTCTTGGGTAGCTGACTTCCTGCATGAGCGTAGAATTCGTGTCCTTACGGATGGTAGCAGTTCGCGGTTCATGTCAGTGAATGCCGGCGTTCCCCAGGGCTCCGTCCTATCCCCCACTCTCTTTCTGCTGCATATCAATGACCTAATTCCTCTTGCGAATATTCATTGCTATGCAGACGACAGTACAGTGCATGCGGGGTATCTCGGACAAGCAGCGGCTGGGCAGGCGGTAACCAAGGAGAAACGGGAGAATCTTGTCATTGAACTCAATCAGGCTTTGGACCACATTTCTGAATGGGGTACCAAGAACTTGGTTGAGATCAATGCTAAGAAAACCCAGGTCTGCGCTTTCACGGCAAAAACGTCGCCATTCCTTATATGTCCTTCTCTTCAGGGCACAACACTGGAGCTAGAGAGCAGTATCACCATGCTCGGTATGGAGATTCGCTGTGACTTAAATCCAAAAAATTACATCGAAAGTGTGATAAAAACAGCCTCACGCAAACTCGGAGTCCTGAACAAGGTGCGGCGTTTTTTCACGCCCGAGCAACTATGCTTGTTATATAAGACGCAGGTTCGGTCTTGCGTGGAATATTGCTCGCACCTCTGGGATGGCTCCGCCAAGTACTTGCTCGATGCTTTGGATAGGTTACAGCGGCGCGCAATACGCATCATAGGCGACGAGGAGGTGTCTAAACACCTCGAGCCTCTTCAATTACGCCGTGACGTGGCGTCACTAAGCGCGTTCTATCGTCTGTACCACGGCGAGTGTTCTGAGGAGTTATTCTCTCTTATTCCACCTTCCCCTTTCCTTCAGAGGACCACGCGCGCTGGCTTACGTTGTCACCGTCTAACTGTGGCTACAATTCCAACGCGTACAAAGAAATTTGGTGACTCATTTCTTTGTCGTACTATCCGTATATGGAATGCTCTGCCCGCTCACGTGTTCCCTCCCTCTTACAACCTGGGATCCTTTAAAAGAGGCGTGAAGAAGCAACATGCAGGCCGGCAGGGTGAGGATGGCTGGTGTGGCAGGTAGAACTGCTGTATCAGCTATCTTCGCGTCTGGACTTCACCTCCACTTAACATCAGGTGCGGTGGAGTCATTTGTCGGACCTATCTATAAAAAAAAAAAAATAAAAAAAAAAAATATAATTATTGATAATAAGGGGTAGAAAACTACCCCTAAAAACAAAAAGCGTACAACGGTATAGAAAATAAACTAGAGGGTGAAATAAGCCTAATCACAAAGTTTTGTACAAATCGGTGCTGAACGAAAAATTGCAAGATTTTACAATTTTTTTAGCTTCATTTCCTGAACTATGATAAGAATCGTCAAAATTACAGGAAAAAAATAAACATGTGGTTGAAAAAAAGAGTTTTGTGGTACAAAGTTGGTTAATACATAGCACGACTGTGATTCCCTCTTATTCCATATTATTATTAATATTTCCATTTTTAAAAACAGCAATAAAAATATAATACTGTGAATTTTTTCAAAAGTGGTCTGTGCAACCTCTAATTGTTGTCCAATCTTTTTGTTTGGCATAGATAAGTTTCATTGAGAGGTGGAGGGCAAACAATGTCGGTAAAAAAAAGTTTGCCTAACAAAATAAAACACCCTTACTTACATGGTTTAACCTTAATCTTTTAATGAACGAGGAAAATTCCTATAATTTGATTACAATCTGCATTAGTAATGAGTATTATTCCGTATATCAATAAAAACATACATATCCGTTGTTAATCAAATTTACTGAACATTTCTAAAATTAACACCGTTCGATTATGAGGATTATCCTGTTTCTTCATAATTACAAGAGTAACGTGTCCTCAGTAATAATGGTTAACCAGGAAGACTTTTATTCTATAATCAGACCAATATATTTGCTAAGTTGTGTGTCATGTGCCAACAAATATATCCAATTGGGCAATAGGATCACCAATATTGGATCAAAATTCGCAATTTTATATTTGTTGATGTTCATTTTAATTGCTTTCTCATTTCGTAGCAAACAGAGTACGATGCAGATCAAATTCTGTTTAAGGCTGATTTATTTAATCAGTGAAGCTGGTTTCATAGTTACACATGTCATAACATACTCGGTCAACTTCGCATACAGATCTATGAAT